GGCACTCCCAGCTCCTCCTTGCCCATGATGGATGGTGGCTTCCCCTCTGGAAACCCTCCTTGTCCTGTGTGAGGCAGCCCCACACCCCTGCCCAGACACACAGGCTGTCCCTGTCCACCTGCAGGAGGAATCACCATCCCTGTTGCCACCTCCCACCCAGCTCCTCAGGCTCTCCCTCTGTTGAAGATTGCAATGCAAGTTGTTTTCAATCACCATCTGTATGGCAGATTACCTTTGTTGAGTGGGCAATTTGCCTTTGAGTGACCACATTCACACCTCCCTTGGGAGGGGACATTGCTGATAACAGCTATTGAATGTCACTGCATGGCTGATAAGAACTACAGCATCCCATTGGGAGATGTGAGCCCAGAGGGAGGAGCCAAGCATTCCTACCCAGATATAATCCAGAGGTTTTCGAGACACCAGCACGGCTTCTCCACGGGATTCCCCAGAGGAACAGCAGCTGCCTGTCCTTCCACTGGATCTTCAGAGGAAGAATACATCCTTCTCTACAGCACCCCCTTGCTCCAACAGAACCACCCCTGACACTGCAGGAGGGCTGCAGCCACAATTCCAATTGGGACTGCCACCAACACCCTGACCCACAGGGTGTCAGGTTGGGTTCTGACTCTGTCAGTGTTGTTCTAGTGTACAGCATTGTTTATTTTATCCTTTTATGTTTTTCCTTTCCCTATTAAAGAACTGTTATTTCCTGCTCCCATATTTTTTGCCTGAGAGCCCCTTAATTTAAAATTTATAGCGATTCCGAGGGGTGGGGAGGGTTCACATTCTCCATTTCAGGGGAGGATCCTGCCTTCCTTAGCAGACTCCTGTCTTTCCAGACCAAGACACCCTCTCACCCATCCCTGGTTCCAGCTCCCACCAGCTCCTCAGGCTCCCCCCCTCACCCATCCCTGGTTCCAGGCTGCTTTCCCAGGAGTGCAGAGCCCAGCAGGGATGGACCAAGGGGGGAGCAGGGAGTGCAGGTGGGTGAACTCTGCCAGCCCTCCCCTCTCAGCCCAGGCACTGCCAGGAGGGGCTCTGTTCCACTGCTACCACAGGGGATTCTGACAGAGGCTTTTGAAACAAGGGAGCTGTTCTGAACTGAAGATTGACAGGAACAAGCTTGCCATAGTTCTGTTCCTTTTTATTTTTTCAGTGAAATGTGTTCTTCTGAAAAAAATTCTTCTAGCAGGAGAACTACCTTTCAATTTGTCCTCTCTCACTTTTGGGTTGAGAAGAAAGAGGTCATTTATATATTTTTTAGGGAAGGCAAAAGGAATATAAAGTCCACTAGAGGGAAAAAGAAATCATTAATATCTTGGAAGCAGGGTATTTTTATCAAAAGGTGGCAAACTTTAGAGACATTAGAAGTCATGTTTTAAAATGACCAAGTGGAAAGTTATAAAAATGAACAAGTCTTGTGTGAAAATGGTGAAGGGAATTTCAGGCACAATAGAAATCATCTGTGAAAATTGCTGGGAGAGCAGGGAAGACATTTCTGTCTCCAAAAGCAAAATAAAATGCTATTCACAGTAATTTGTACTAATTATTAGCCTTAAGTAGTACTAATTTTTACCCAGCAATAATTGCTATTTAAGGCTCCAGAGCTCTGGAAAAAATATTTTCTGAGTGTGGTAAGGTCCTTGCAGAGCAATCTGCACAGCATTAGTGGGCAGCCCGTTGAGGGAGAAGTTTTATTTCTCCTCTGCACCAACACGGACAGACACAAATATCACATTCCTGTTGATGCAAAAATTGGATTGCTCCCATCAGAACTGACAAAGCCACTCATTTAAGGAGTGTTTCCCTCTCTCACACACACAGATGCAGTTTTCAAAAGATTTTTTTTCTGTTTTCCCCAAGGATCTGAGTTCCCAAACCAAGTGAAAATTGGCCAGAGGATCTCGTGTCTGATGGGATCTGTGAGGAGCCTGTGCCAAACCCAGGCCAGGAACCCTGCAAGTGTTTGATGGGATCTGTGCAGAGCCTGTGCCAAACCCAGGAACCCTGCAAGTGTTTGATGGGATCTGTGAGGAGCCCATGGCAAACTCAGGAACCCTGCAAGTGTTTGATGGGATCTGTGCTGCTCAGGTGCTGTGCTGCTCAGGCTGCTCACAGGTGTAGCCCAGTGTCCTTGTCAAATTAATTACACTCTCTATATGTAACTCTGTCAGTGCCTCCTGGAGCCCTGATTTTCCATAAGGTCTTCCTGAAAGCCTCAGCACAGCCCCGTGAGTGGGATTCCTGCTAGGGTAAATACCAGGGGACATGAGCTTGCCCAAAGCCACGTCCCTTGTCCTCAGGGGTGGCACTGTGCTCCTGCTCTGTCCTCACATCAGTGTGGCTGGTGGGGGACAGCTCAGGGAGCTGATCTGGCTGAAGAGCAGCTGAGGATAATAAAAACACAACTCAGTTCTGCAAGCTGCCTGCTCCGATCCGCCCTGTGTGCTTGTGCCAGCAGGAAGCTGGGATCTCCATCCATGCTGCCCGATGGTGACACTGCCATCAGGAGAGCCCCAATCTCACCAAGAACTGCCTCCTGCAGCCAGAGTCATCCCAAAAATGCCACAGGGAACTCACCACAAGTGAGGAGCTCGCACAGCAGCCCACTGGGATAAAGCTGGGAATTGCCAGGCTCGTGCCTGCCCTCTCCAGCCCTGCACCCTGCGTCCCTGCACGGGATCCCAGGCACATCTCCATGTCCATCCACAACACAAACATCCCAAAAATACCCAGGGAAAAGGCTGAAGGTGTCCAGGAGCATCTGCTGGGGTGGTGCTGTGCCTGCAGGCGTGAAAATGTCCCCCAGGACCAGCAGGGCAAAGGGTGAACAGCAGCTGATGGCTTTGCTCTGGCGTGGAGCAGAGGTGACAAGTGTGTCCCTAACACCTGTCCCCTATTCCCAACGGCACTGCCGGCAATGGCACTGGCCATTTGCTTTTTTCCCTAAGCTCACTTTCTCTAGAGGAATCGATCAGCCCACCAGCCAGTCAATCGGGCAGTCAATCAATGAGGGAGCCAATCCGAGCCGCTTGGAAAACGGATCCTGCCGAGGCCGGGACTCGCACCCGAGCCTCGAGAGCCCGAGGGAAAAGCTGCAGCCCTGGGGGAGGCTGAGCCCACCCAGCCCGGGCGCAGCCCTGTCCCGGGACGGAGGAGCGGCTATCCCGGCCGTGCCGTGCCGTGCTCCCGGGCACTCCCAGCCCCGGAGTCAAGCGGGCCCTGCTGAACACGGCCGGGCCCTCCTGAGGGGTCGGATCTGCCCCCATCCCCACCTCTGGGACCTGGAAGGGTTGCTGCTGCTGACATCTAGTGACAGGGAGAGCCGGCACGGGGAGTCACCTGGAGCTCCGGCAGAGCCAACCCGCCGCGGGAGAACCCGCTCGGTGCTGCCCAAAGCTCGGTGCTGCCCAAAGCTCGGTCCTGCCCGGAGCTCGGTCCTGCCCAAAGCTCGGTCCTGCCCAAAGCTCGGTCCTGCCCGGAGCTCGGTCCTGCCCAAAGCTCGGTCCTGCCCAAAGCTCGGTCCTGCCCGGAGCTCGGTCCTGCCCAAAGCTCGGTCCTGCCCAGGGGTTCAGTTCTGCCAGGGGCTCGGTTCTCCCCTGGAGCTCGGTCCTGTCAGGAGCTCTCTGTCCTGTCCAGGAGCTCGGTTCTCCCCAAGAGCTCGGTCGTGCCCAGGGGTTCGGTTCTCCTCAGGAGCTCTGTGTCCTGCCAAGGGCTCCATCCTGCCCAGGGGTTCGGTCCTGCCCGGGAGCTCAGTTCTCACCAGGAGCTCGGTCCGGTCAGGAGCTCTCTGACCTGTCCAGGGGTTTCGTTCTCCCCAGGAGCTCGGTCCTGCCCAAAGCTCGGTCCTGTCAGGAGCTCTGTGTCCTGCCCGGAGCTCGGTTTTCCCCAGGAGCGGGGCTCCAGCGGGACCTAGCGCCGGGCGCCCCACGATGTCCCAGCCACTCGCAGTCACCCCAAGACCTTTTCCTCCTGCAGCGGCACCCAAAGAGAACGGGCACATCCCATTCCCAGCCTCCCCACAGCCCTTCCTGCTCTATTTAAGCACGGGCTCAATGTTGACTTTGGTGCCTCATCGGAGCACAGGGAGGGGACAGAATGCCCCAAGGGGAGGAGCCGCGGTGGCACCGGGGCATCCCCAGCCGCTGCCGGAGGCTGCAGCCCCCTCACCCCCGTTCCCTTCCTCCAGGGCCGCGGGAGCCCCGGGAATCGCGCAGGAGACGCGGCCGCTCCGGGCCGAGCGGAGGGAGGGAGGATGCGAGCGGGATGCTCAAAGCACGGGAGCCGCAGCCACATCCCCGCGCACTCGGGCACAGCGGCTCCCCGCCACGCCAGGGGACGGGGGCTGCCACAGGGGTGGGGGGACATCTGGGGCGCTCATCCCTGCTCTCGGTGCAGGAACAAAGCGCTGAGCAGGGATCGGGGGGTGTGAGGGAATCGCAGCGCAGACCCCGAGCGCAGCCCGGCAGCTCGCTCGGGTTGTGACAGAGCGGGGACAGAGCGGGGACAGAGCCGAGGCTGCCACCCCGCACACCGTGCCCCAAAGCCCGGCACACCGGGGCATTCCCGGCCGTGCAGAACCTGCCTCCCCTCGCAGCACAGCCCCTACGAGCCCTGTGCCCGAGAAGTGCTCAATGCGCGGGGCACATCTGGGCATCTCCGCAGCAGCAGGACCATCCGAAAGCACAGCAGCGAGCCCAGCTCGGCTCCAGAGCACAGGAGGCAAAGCCGATGGATGAGCACGGAGTCGCGGAATGGTTCGGGCTGGAAAGGACCTTCCCGAGCACCTCGTTCCGACCCTCCTGCCTCGGGCAGCGACACCTTCCTCGAGCCAGGGAGGTTCCAAGCCCATCCAGCCCGGCCTCGGGGGTGCCAGCCGCGCTCACCGCCGCTCCCGGAGCGCTGCGGAGCGGAGCCCCTGCCCGGGGGTGCCCGCGATGCCCCCCGAGCGAGCCCGGCAGAAAGTTGTGCCCCGCTGGCCGCGCCGCGCTACTCACCCAGGAGGATCAGGGTGCAGAAGCAGGGGATGCCCCTCATCGTCCCGCTGGGCTCGGCTCGGAGCCCCGGCCCGGCCCGGCGCGGCTCGGCGCGGCTCGGCGGTGCCGGAGGATGCGCGGAGGGCTGGGCAGGGCGGAGGGAGGGGGGCGGCCCCGCGGCCCGGCCCGGCCCCCCCGGCCCGAGCTGTGCCCCGCTCCGGGCCCGGGTCATGCCCGCAGCCGCGCCGGGCCCCGCTCCGGGCTGCCCGCCGCCCCCCGCGCCATGCTCCGCCGAGGGGCCGCTCCGGGATGGCCGCACTGACTCTGTGCGTGTGGATTAGTTAATTGTCCTTGCTTCTTATTGGGATTTTTTCCTTTGTTTGTTTTTGTTTGGGTTTTTTTCCCTTGTGGTGTGTTTTTCTGTTTTGTTTTCTCCTCCTGTCTCAGCACGGAACTCGCGGCGGGCGCAGCTCCCCGTGCCCGAGCACCGGGGCAGCCTCGCCGCCTTCCCCGGGCCGCCCCCGCCCGCCGCGGCCCTGGGGAGGGGCTTGGGGCCCGGCCCCCGCTCCTCCTGCTCCTCCTCCTCCTCCTCAGCCCCGCATCCCGGCCCCGCATCCTGGCCCCCGCTCCTCCTCCTCCTCTCCGGCCCCGCATCCCGGCTCCCGCTCCTCCTCAGCCCCGCATCCCGGCCCCGCATCCCAGCCCCGCTCTTCCTCCTCCTCCTCCTCTCCGGCCCCGCATCCCGGCCCCCGCTCCTCCTGCTCCTCCTCCTCCTCCCTGGCCCCGCATCCCGGCCCCGGGCGGGGGTTCTCTCTCTCATCTCCTGCACCCGTGCCTTGGGCATGGCCCTTCCACCCTGCAAGCCCCGGGCTGCCTTCTGCCTCCCCGCTGCCCTCCCGGAGGGTCCCGGCGCCTCTCCCCTCCTCCCAGCCCTCCCGTTGGGATGGAAGCACCGGCCTCATCGCCTTGGAGATGTGTCCTGCTCCCGACTGTTGTTGGCAGTGACACTGCCCTAAGTGCTCGGGCCATGTCCTGCCCCCCTCCCGGCCACGGCACCTTCCAAAATCCTCTGACACGTGATGACCTCCCAGTTCTCCCCCAAAAGCCTCTGTAAATTCGGGTGATGTGCTTCCATGGCTTCCCATCCAGCTCCCCACACCTCCTTCACCCTGGTGCACTGGTCCCCCACCACCATTCCCTGCTGCTTCCCCCAGCTCTGATCCCCAGGGCCCAGCAAGTGACCCTGGATTAGGGAGCAGAGCCTGGCTCCTTAATCTTTGTGATGATGAGTGAGCATCATTTCCCACTGCCTCCATTTCATGCATGGAGTACCTGAGACACAAAATGTGAAGTGACATCTTCAGGTTCCCCAGTAATTAACTGACCCATGGAGCAGGGACAGCCTCATTCCTGAGCCAGTGTGCTGTGCTCAGCCACCCCCTGCTCCTACACAGCTTCCCTTCCCTTCCCTTCCCTTCCCTTCCCTTCCCTTCCCTTCCCTTCCCTTCCCTTCACGACCAGGGCACTTTTCCCCAGGCAGAGCTTTTGGATATTTGCAGAGGGAGCTTTTTCCCTCTGCTGGCTCAGATCTTTTCACTGAACAGGTATTTAAATGCTCTGGGAAGTTTTTCTTTTTCCGCTGGAGCTGTTCAGGGTTCTTAACTTGCATTTCCTCCTGGCATCACCTCATTAATCCTTTCTGCAAAGAACTGCACACTTTTATTTTTCAGGAGTAAAACAGAGAAGGGAAATAATTCATACAGCCATTTGTAGGTGTTATATATCAAACAGAAAAAGTCAAGAAAGTACTTTTTATTTTCCTTTTTCCTTTTTTTCCTTCCCACTTGGCAAATCAAAAGGAAAGTGTGATCCTTGGCCTTCCTCCCTGGCCTTCCTCTGCTTTTGAAAGCTTCTACCATGTTCCAGCCTGGAACTATCCATTTAACAGGTTTCCTAGTCCTCTGCCAGAACTGAAAAGTTGTAAATACATTAATGTCCCTAGCAAGTGTATTTCACACCCAAAACGAGCATTTCTTGAGCTACTCAGTGGGGAAAAAGAAAGTGTTAATAAAGCCTCATTTGGAGTAAAAAACACTGCTCTGGAGCTGGGTTTTTTGATTTCTTTAAGAACAGTATGATTATGTTTAAGCAAATTTCAAGCTGAAATTGCACTGAGCTGCAGTTGAAACATCAACTGGGAAACTGGGGAAATGATTGGATTTTTCTGCTTATTATTATTTTTAATTATTTTGCAGTTTCTTTTTCACTGTTCTATTTTTGAAGTTGCTGTTTGTCCAGGGGAAAAAAAATCACTGGAACATATGTGAGTTTTAGTGAGATTTTTAACAAATTTAAAAATTTATTTTCCTTGGAAAATGTCTTTGCCTCCCTCAGGAATGAGGAATTCTGGTGGACCAAGGGAGGTGCCCTGAGCCCCATCACATCAAAGGGATGGGTTTAGCTCAGTGTCCCAAGAGAGCTGCCGTGTGAGGACTTGTTTTCCCTGGCTCTGCCTTGTTCCTCTTTGGGCTCTGAGCAGAGGAATCCTTCCTTTTGGTCAATGAAATTCCTGCATCCTCACAGCTGCAGCCGGAGGAGCAGCTCGAGGCTGCCTTGGTGTCACCCCTTGGGCTGAGGCTTGGTCCTCCCCCCCTGGACAAGGGGAAGCTGCCAAGGAATCAGTGCAATGAAAGCATCATTTCTTCCTAAGCCTGAAGAGGAAATAAAAAAATGGGGGGTTTGGGGATGTGGAAAATGCAGGCACAGACAACCCCCACCGGCCTTCCCAATCCCACCAGGGAGGCATTTCCTGCCCTCTGTAATTACTCGTGGGACAGCCAGGGCAGACAAGAGCTGCACTGGGAAAAGCTGCCCAGAAAAGATCCTACAGATCCTGTGGGGAGAGAGGAATCATTGTTCCTGCAGCCCCATTCATCAGGGCTGGGTCTCCCCTCCTTGTGGGTGGGTGATGGGGTGAGTGGGGGGAAATAAAGCCAGTCCTTTCAGGAGTGGGGGGAAATAAAGGCATTTATTCCATGAGTGGGGGAAGTAAAGGCACTCCTTGCATGAGTGGGGAGCAGTAAAGGCACTCCTTCCATGAGTGGGGGGAATAAAGCCATTTATTCCATGAGTGGAGGAAGTAAAGGCACTCCTTCCATGAGTGGGAGAAGTAAAGGCACTCCTTCCATGAGTGAAGTAAAGCCATTTATTCCATGAGTGTAGGAAGTAAAGGCATTTATTCCATGAGTGGAGGGAAGTAAAGGCACTCCTTCCATGGATGGAGGGAAGTAAAGCCATTTATTCCATGAGTGGGGGAAAGTAAAGCCACTCCTTCCACGAGTGAAGTAAAGCCATTTATTCCATGAGTGGAGGAGGTAAAGCCACTCCTTCCATGAGTGAAGTAAAGCCATTTATTCCATGAGTGGAGGAGGTAAAGCCACTCCTTCCATGAGTGAAGTAAAGCCATTTATTCCATGAGTGAAGGAAGTAAAGCCACTCCTTCCACCCCCCTGAAAGTCACCTGCTCCCTTTCTGTGCAAATGAGTCAAGGTATTGATCAGTCAGCTGGAAAAACAGGTCCCATTGTTGCTCCTGTTAGACCTATCCCAAAAAGCTGCTCCCCAGAGCTCCAGACAACACATTTAGCAAAGGCAGTGAAAGAAAGGATTGTTTGGGTAGGTCCGTGGAGAAATCACTGGGCAGAGAAAGCACAGAAAATATGCTGGTTAAAAGGAATGCACTTGTGAGAGTGAAGCTGGTCCCACTGGAACCAAGGACAACTTTGGAGTGTGTTCTACAGTCAGGTTAGCTGTGCAGGACCCTGCCATGCACAGTCCCATGGCCAGAGATGGCCTCCAAGTCCCAAAGCAGCCGTGGGAGCAGGGCAGGAGAGCTGCAGGGCCCTTTCCATGGGTGGGGAGGGCACTGCTGAGAGCAGCCACCCTCTCCTGAGCTGGAGAAGCTGCTGGGACCTGCATCCCCCTGCTGGGATGTGCATTGCCTGCTCCTGGGACCTGCATCCCCTCCTGCTAGGATGTGCATTCCTGCTGGGACCCGCATCCCCTGCTGGGACCTGCATCCCCTGATCCTGGGATGTTCATTCCCTGCTCCTGGGACCTGCATCCCTCTCTGAGCCTTGCATCCCCCTGATCCTGGGACTTGCATCTCCTGCTCCTGACACCTGCATCCCCTGCTGGGATGTGCATCCCCCTCTGGGACCTGCATCCCCCTCTGGCACCTGCATCCCCCTCTGGCACCTGCATCCCCTGCTGGCGCCTGCATCCCCCCTGCTGCTGCTTGGGCTCCAGCTCACCTGATCTGCAGCCCTTCTCTGGTTGTGGGGCTGCTCCTGATTGAAGGAGAGGCAGGAGGAGGCTCCTGGCTCTGACCTTCAGCTGTTTGGGGGATGCAGGAGCTGTGAACTGAAACCTGAGGGGTTGTGTTCAGGAACTTTTCCTCTTGCTCCTCTTTATTGCTTGCAGCTGTGCTCTTATGGGACCCTCTCATTGCTGAACTTCTGGAGCACTTCAGCCTCTGAAACTGGACTGGCAGGAGAGTAGGAGAGTTGCTTGTTAGAGTTTAGGATCAAATCAAACCAAACCTCAGTAACTGCAGCTGCTGTGAGACCTTTTCAGGAATATCTTCATTCGCCCAAGGACCCTGGAGGGTCTCAGCACCTGTAGGGTGTGTAAACTCATTGCCAAGCAGGTTTGACTTGCCATGGCTTGCAGTAATTTTGATGTTTCCAAAAGGAAAAGGGAATTGGAGTGATGTAATGACCCCAATCTCCCTGTGCTCTCTGTATATTCATTCAGGGGATACCCCAAAAGCAAACAAGGGAAGCTGGATGGACACTGTCCAGAAATGAAGGAAGAACCATGGCTGATACCCAGTTCTGTGCTTGCCTTGGTGTCTGTAAGATGCCTTAGAATAAAATCAATGAGACAACCTTGCTTTCTGTAATATGAACCACTGAGGAGGGTGGGAAAAGCCAAGTGCACTGAGAAGGAAAATGTGCTGAGAAATGAGAATTGCAGATTCATGGAATGGTTTGGGGTGGCAGGGCCCTTAAAGCCCACTC